GAGAGGCACTGAGGATTATTTCTCTCTTCTTATGTAAGTGAATCCAGTGTGGCAGTTACTATAACTTTCTCCCCCCTTGCAAACATCCATTGTAGAATCTTGGGCCTCTCACATTATTTATCTGCCATACTTGCATGTAAGGCCAGGAAAAATGGAGAGGAGAATGGTTAGAAGAGAACATTAGTAGAATATAGGGAAAGCGAGGATAAAGAAAAAGAGGATTAATATGGATTTTTTGTGTGTCAAAAAGAAGTCAACACACTTTGATCTTATTTTGTGTTATTAAAATAGACAATTTGGATGGGGGTGGGGGTGGTCCTGGGAATTCAAACCAGGAACACTTTGCCATTGTGTCTAGCCCTTTTTATTTTTTATTTTAAGACAATGTCTCACTAAATTGCTTAGGGCCTTGCTAAATTGTACAAGCTACTCTTGAACTTCAGATCCTTCTGCCTCAGCCTCCTGAGTTGCTGAGATTACAGGTGTTATGCCACCAAGCCTGTAATTTATGTATATTAATGGAGCTAGCCAGAAAGTGCACAAACTACCATGAATTCTATACAATGAAGATAAAAATCTTAAATATAGTTTTCTTATTTTGTTTTATGTCATATCATCTTATTTTTGTCATTCATTAGTGTATTTGGAGACTGTAGAGGGCTCTTAAAGGCTCTGGATTTTCAACTCAACTTATTCTTTGTCATATTTTAAAGGAATCCAACACTGTAAGACATATTCCATGTTTTTCTACTGATGATTGTTTGTGGTGAAGCATCATGAATTAACTTGACTTGATGGATTTGTAGAGAAAGAAAGGCATGTGGAAAAAGCATTGTGGTAAGTTATACTGTGTACCCAAGAACGAGGTGTGTCTGTGTTCAGCCAAACTTGATCTAGATTGCTTTTGCTTTTGATCCCCTGGAAAGTGCATGTTTCACTAACTTATGTTTTAACTGTGATAAAGTAACTCAGGACTGAGTAGTAATGATATGTATATGAGGACTGAGCTGGATTGGGGGAATAAATCAATTGATTTAATAATTTTCCACGGTCATTAGATTTTTTAAAAAATATATTTTTTAGTTGTCAATGGACCTTTATTTAACTTATTTATTTATATGCAGTACTGAGAATTGAACTCAGTGCCTCACACATGCTAAGCAAGGGCTCTACCACTGAGCTACAATCTCAGCCCAGTGGTAAGCCTATAAGGATGCCTGGATTGATCTATTTGGGGACTTCCCTAGAGACAGTGAGTAGAGACTATGTGATTCATGATGTCAAAAGCCTGTAAGAAGAAAACCTCTTATGAAGAAAAAAATATCATATATAAACATTAATATTGCATTTATAGACATAGTTTCCCCATCTCCTCCAGTGCTTTTTATGAAATATGATTTTTGGTGGTTTTGTGTGGAATAATGCTTAACTCAGAAAGAATTATAGAAGGTTTGGCAGTAAAGATATGGTTTGGACTATGTAAATGTTTTCAAGTTTTTTTTCTTTTTAGATCAGTTTCATACCTCACATAACTTACTTCTATAATATTGGTATGTAATAGGAGACTAAGATTATATACTAAGTAATTGTAAGCCAGATCATTCCCTATGTTCTCATAGATATCAAGAGATTCCATAGCTGCTAAAGATGAAGGTGGTATGTGTAAGGCCAGGAGGAATGTGATGTATTAGTTAGCTTTCTCTTACTGTAACCAAAACCTGAGATAATCAACTTAAAAAGAGAAAAGGTTTATTTGGTTCACAGTTTTAGATGTTTCAGTCCATAGTCAGTTGTCCCTGTTGCTTTTGGGCTTGTGGCAAGGCAACAAATAATGAAAGGGAGTACATGATGGAAAAAGTTGCTTATGTCATGACCTAGATGAAAGGCAGAAAGAAGGGAGGAGAAGAGGAGGTATTGGGTCCTATTATCCTCTTCAAGCCCATGTCCTCAATGTCCAGAAGATCTCCTATTTGGCACCCCCACCTTTTCCAGACTGGGGATTGCACACAGGAGCACTCTGAGCTATCACCAGCCCCTCTTTTAAAGTCTTATTTTGAGACAGGTTGTCATTCATGTGCTCAGGGGGCTTGGAACTTGAGACCATTCTGCCTCAGCCTCCTAGGTAGCTGGGATTATAGACATACAACATTGTGCCTGGTTTAGGCCCCACCTCTTAAAGGTTCCACCATTTCCCACTAGTATCAAGCTAGAGACTAAGCCTTGAACACGTGGGCCTGTAGTGACATTCCAGATCAAATTCAGAGTGTGTGGTAAAATCATTTTTTATAACAATATAATTTTTACATACTAAAATATTCAGTTCCAATATTCAGTTATAATTAGGCAAATGCTGTTTGCCTCTCCTGTTCCCAGGCTTGATAACTATTTTCTCTTCATAATACCATCCATTTAATTCTAGCTTGTAGTCTCAGCATCGTTTTAGCCTCTAAAGCAAATTTTAAAAACAGAAGGAACAACTTAAAGAGATTTGGTCCAACACTCTGGAACTTAGTATTAAGTCCTCCCCTGACCTAAAACCTCGGTTTTTATATTGAGGGCATTGGGACAACCCAATCTCTGTATTTTGTAACAATTGGAATAACTAGGGCTCCTCTTGGTGCAACGTTTGTATACCATCTACCCCTGAGGTCCTTCTATGTTCTCTCCTTAATTTTATTAAAGACTAGAAACCCTCAAGCTTCTATATGGTACCTAAGGCCCTACCAGATACTCTCACATTTCGTTTGTGTCAACTACTTAACTATTGCTCCAAATATCCCTTACTCCTGTCTCTATTTTCCACTTCAGTGTACTAGGTATTTATGAAAACATTGTTTTACCCCTTGTTGGAACCACTCTTCTCCAAAGACCTACTCTTTGCCAGTTCCTGTACTTCCTATACCTCCTGCCCAGGTCTGAATTTCCTCATGTCAACTATAACTGAATTTGTTCTCCCCCTACTTATGTCTTTTTGAAAACTTCAAGTGCAAGACCAACATAACTATTCTAGTTTCTGAGAAATTTATGTCATGTTTTATATTTTGTAATCTTTATAAACTATTGTACCATTCATGCATTCTAGCCATTGTATACTCATGAGATTTGTTTTCCTATGTTCCAAAAGAGTATTTTATAATTTCATGTCAAGTTCTAATGTGCCTAATTGTACTTTTGCAAATCATGCGATGTTGTCTTTTCTTTTTCCAATTAGCTACTTATTGATATTGACCTAGTTTTAATTTGGGGGAAATTTCAGAATTGTAAATGCTTATGAGTTGAAAATTGGTTGGAATATGATAGTTGCCAAAATGTTAAAGCTAATCTGGTCTTTTCACCCATTCATTCATTCATTCATTTAATAACTGACTTTTCTGACCACCAGTTTACTCAACTCTAAAATAGTTGTGAAGATTAATAATAGTGCATATAAGGTGATTTAAAAAGTTAGAAACAAAAAAGTAAAAATTATTTTTAAAAACTTTTGCTAGCATTGCAGAGCACAGTGGCACACGCCTTTAATCCTAGTGGCTGGGGAGGCTAAGGCAGGAGGATCTCCAGTTCAAAGCCAGCCTCAGCAACTGTGAGACGCTAAGCAACTCAGTGAGACCCTGTCTCTAAATAAAATACAAAATAGGGCTGGAGATTTAGCTCAGTGGTCAAGTGCCCCTGAGTTCAATCTGTGGTATCTCCACCCTGGCAAAAAAACTATTGCTAACATAATTATCTACATTTTAATCTTGAATTCAGTGCTTTGTTCTGTCTTCAGACACACTGCTCTTTGCTCTTCTACTGGTAGCTGAATTCACAGTTTTCCTAATAGATACAGTCCCGATGCCTGATAAGGATGTGCAGATATTGCACTTGAGCTCCACTCTTATGTCTCTCAATTTTGTTTTGTTTGTGGTATTTGGTAAAATATAAACAAATGTTTTCTACTTTTAGCATGATATCTGTCGTGTGATAGGAACCCAGTAAAAGTCTATCTATGAATGGGAGTGTATGTTGATGTGATTTTTGGAGGACAGTTAGGCAGATTCTTTCATAACTTTTAAGTTTGTGTATCCTCCATTCCAGAGTTTACATTTCTAGAAATTTAGATATAGTTGTGTGTGTGTATGTGTGTATGTATGTATGTATGTGTATGTATATATGTGTGTGTGTGTATACACACACACACACACACACTATTGTGTGCAGCAGAACACCAAAACCAAAACCAAATACCTGAAAACAACCAGAGGTCCATCAATATGGTACTGGCTAAATAAATGATGGTACTTTCATTTATGTTACTTATAATCCATGAAATTCTCTACAGTCATCAAAAAAATTAGATGGATATATGTACAAATGAAGAAAAATCCGTATTCTAGACACATCATAGAGAACGTATCCTATGCTGCTTTTATGTAAGTAGAGGATACATAGATATGTGAAAGTATTTATATAAGGTACACAAAATGTACATGTAAACACTGGGACACATCTCGAAGAACACATCAGGAACTGGGTGCAGAGGGACCTAACTTTTTATTGCAGGTCCTGTACAATTTGAACTCTGAAGTGCTCACAGAAACTCACAGACCTGTGCTACAGGCCTCCGGCCACGGATGGCGCAGTTGCTGCCAAAGTCCTGTTTTGTCAATCTAGCGATTTAGCAAACCGGCGTGTGACGCCATCACGACAGGCGGTGGCGCAGGCGCAGTGGCGACGCACCGGGCATTCTGTGAGTACCTCCCGGGCGCGCCTCCGATCCAGCTTCTTGTTCCGGCACCGAGGACGCCAGACTGACGGCTTTGACCCGCTTGGCATTGGGTGGACGGCATCTCGGCCCCCAAATGAGCCAATGGCATCATGCCCGCAGTGGCTGGGGTAGGGGACGCGACTTTTCTGGTCGTCCCTCAGCAAAGAGGAAGGGCGGAAACCGCATCCCGGAAAGGTAATACGCCCCGGGTGCTGGGGATGGCCCTTCCGGCTCTTAGCTTCTGGGCGTGGGGTCCGTGTCTTGTGGTCTAAGCCTCTTACTGTCGCTTTTGCGAGCTTGGCCCGTGTGCCAAGCTGGGTTTAGAGACTTTGACTCTGGCTGCGCCACCCGCAGAAGCTGAAAGAAGCTGTAGTGGTCAGTGAATTCGCCCACCCTTTTAAAAGGGAGGCTCTGTCCTTTGCTCCTCGGGTCAACTAGTGCTTTGAGGCGGGACTTGGTGTTGGGGATGCTCCTTAATCATCCAAATGGAACGCCTCCCTCAGTTCCTCAAGTTGTGTTATTTGTTGGCACAGAAAAAAAAATGATATTAAGATTTAAATATGAATGAATTCCTCTGTACCTGCATGAGACCTTTCATGAAAAGGTGGTTTGCATTATTTCCAGGAATCACCGAAGGCAAACTGGTGCTTTCTAACAGGTGTCACCTCAGAGATCTTCCTGTATACATCTAAATGGTTAGTTTTGGGGACTTTGTTCGGCTATGTAGTGAAACTGTTTAGTCCTTGAAATCTTCCTCTCCTTCGTTCCAAACTTCATTGAGTCCCTTTCATTTTTTCTCCTAATATCCTTTGAATCTCAATTTTTCTCCTTCAGCATCCTAATGCAGGTTTTACCTGACCTTTTGCTGTTGAGTCCAATAGTGTCCATATATCTATTCTTTAATTTCTTCCAGCCTATTCTTCCCACAGATCTTTTAAATAGGTCATTGAAAACTTGAAATTGAGCCAGGCACAGTGGTGCATGGCTGTAATCCCAGCTTCTTGGGAGACTAAAGCAGGAAGGCAAAGTCTTAAGTTCCAAGACAGGCTCAGCAATTTAGTGACACCTTGTCTCTTAAAAAAAATGTGGGTGTATAGCTTAGTGGTCAAGTACTCCTGGGTTTAGTCTGAGCACCCAAACCATCTTGAAATTGAAATGGAATGGGAAGGTAGCTCATAGACATCAGTGTAAAGCATTATTTTAAGAATAAAAACAATCTTCTTACATGCTCTATAAGGCCCTGTATAGTCTGGGATCCTCTCTGCTTCTCCAGCCCCATTTTTTGCCACTCTTGACTTTCTATGCTTCAACTACATTGAATTAACCATAGTTAATTCTAATTTGTCCTACATAGGTGAGCTCAAATATTACTTTTGAGGGTTGACTTCTAGTATTTTTAAGTGAAGTTCACAGTCCCTTTCTATGTGATGAGTTTTCTCGTCAAACATAGACCTTAAATTCTTTACCAATTGAATTTGATGCTATCAGTTGTATGAAAACTAAAAAATCATGTTTAGTGAAGAATTGAATTTAAATCATTACCCTGTGTTTATATTGATAACACCTTAACATTTGGTACTGGGATTAGGTTTGTCAGGGATACAGAAACTCTGTCATCTGATTTTAGATAATCCTTATTTGTGGAGGTCTTTGTTCTATTGCCTTGGATCTGTTTTCATGATGGGGAAATGAGCAGAAGGAATGTATGGATTATTACCAGGCAGGGATGAATAAGTGGCAGGATGCAAAGCAGAGAGAAGGGACATGCTCTGTGCACTGTGAGTGGTTTTCTAGAAGCCTTAATTCTGTACAAGGAGACAAGGCTAACATACAGTTTGGCTAACAAAAAACATATCTACTAGGTGGAAAGACTATCTCCCAGTTGGACAGAGGATGCCTGGGACTCGATTCATTGCTTTCAAAGTTCCTTTGCAAAAGGTAAGCAAAAGTTAATTCAGTATTCTTTCAGAAATCTAAATTCACCACATGGAATCCTGTTTTTTTTTTTTTCTTTTTTCAAATTAATATACGTAGCTATGTGTGTGTGTGTGTGTGTGTGTGTGTGTGTGTGTAAAGACTAGATGAAAATTTATTCAATAAAAATTGTTCATCATAAAGTTATTAAAAATACTTTCCTAGTAATGTACACATCATAAACCTAGGTTTCTCTTTGGGGTGGGGCGTTAAAAGCCCTAGTATCCTCTCCTCTGCAGGCAAGGTGTGCTCTTTTTCTCTCTGATGGCTTCCTAGGCCACATCGCCTGCAGGAAATCAGGTGTTTATGGCCAGCATAGGAGCATCATGTACTCTGCATCATGTTTGATGTCACCAAACTGTAACATTCTGTGGTGAGGAGCTTCCTTACTGAGAAATAGTCTTTTAGGAATGTAGCTACTTACAACCATGCTACATTTGGCTCTGCCATCTCCACCCATATTTTTGTGAGTTTTATACATTTGAAAATAATGAAACCCTTATTTGTGACTATCTCTGGGACTTATGAGTCATAACTCATGCATCCATATGGTCCACAATGTCACCCAACCAGGGCTCGGGGTTTCGGAGTAGAGCGTTCCTATTCAGGCAGCCCTGACTTCATTGTTCCTGTAACTAGTCACTATAATAGACCACCTTCCTTAATTAGGAAAATTAAAAAAAAAAAAAAAAAAAAAGCCTGACATTGGTGTCTTAATCTTTGCCAGATTCCTGGCACACCACAATCAAATTGTGATGCCAAACATTCTTTTTTATTTTTTTAAATTGGAAAACTAGTTTCATTTATTCATAAATTTAATAATTAATCTTGCTCTATATCTTGTTGTTTGTTGGGATTGGTGAGCTTTCTGTGTTTGTCTTGATCCTAGTGACCTTTACTCAGAATACATTTATTGAGGCCACAGTGCTATTACTGTACTAAAAGGAACCTGTGTCAACTCTTTAGTGACATCTTAGATTTGCATGCTTGAAAATTTTCAAAGTAAATTTTCTTCTTACCTTCAGACCCATGCTATGGAAAGATTATTCTATACATTGCTATAATTTATGAAATTACAGTGATTCATGTTGAATTTGAAGAATTCCCACATGCTGCCAGCATGCACAATTTTTGCAACCTCCTACTTAGAGCCAGAGGTGCTTGGTGGCTTGTCTGTTTACACCTGTGAGGCTGTGTGACAGTGCTTCATACAACATTGTATTTAGAAACATGTCCAGCTATAGCAAAACTGGAAATATGGAGAAAGTTCTTCAGCAATCTCTTTCCTTTGAATGTGTCTGTGTAATTCAGCCAAATATTTATTTTCCAAAATATTATTAAGAAGTAGCTTCCACTGTTTTCTACAGTGTCTTGGTGATCATCTTTGCTACCCTCCTCCAGGAGCCAGCCTACCTCTTGTGAGTTGAGTGATCTTGTTTTAATTTTCCCTGCTCTGCACTAAACAAGGGAATCCCTAACTGAATCTATAGAATTAAGGGTTCTCCATGAGGTTCTATGTGATAAATTATCACTGCTATCTATTGAGAAGTATATATGTTCTAATTAACTATCAACCAATAGTATTGTGGCTATCTAATGAAAAGTGTTTCATACCAATTTTTTAATTTGGGCTGTTATTTTTTAATAGAGGCTGTATGTAAAAAAAATTATTAAAACGTTGGTTTTCAACCATATCACACTCTGCTTTCCTTTTTGTAGCAAATGCTTCTTTGGTACCCATAAATAAATTTGCAGATGAATATAATTTACTTCAAAACATACTTTTAAAGAAATCATTATAATGCAATAACTATAAATAATACTGAATTTATAATTAGGCAATATATATTTCAATATCTAAATTAATGAGCATTATCACAGTAGAATATATAAAGAAAGAGGTGCTTACATTAAGAATGCAAGATCCACAAATATAGACTGTGACCGAGGTGGGTTATATTTCCATGGCAGTGAACAACTCAGTAGATTTCCAAACAACACAAAATACAGTCTTCACTTTGTTGATAAGGTGTCCTGAGAAATTCAATGGACATTAAAATTGTGCAAAAAATACGTTATTTGTGAATCAGTTAGGTTCTAAAGCTTAGGTAAATAGGATCAGTCTTTTTTTAAAAAAGTAATGTTAATATTGACTAGGATATTTACAAGTCATTAGGATGTGGAACATAAACACATATTTACATATTGAGTAATCTTTTTTCTTCCTTTGGGTCACTGGAAGAGAGGTTTGTAATTTAAATTTGTAATTTAAATTTGTAATTTAGCTTCCAGAAGAGTGGAAACTCTCATTGTATCTCATAGTTTGCTACCATGATATGATTTGAATAAATGCATAATAGAGGATTTTGACACAAATTTACTCTCTTTCATTTTCTCTGACAAGAGTTTTGAAGCGAAACTTGCTCCAGAAGAACGCTTTTCTCCTCTGGATCTTTTTAACAAAATCCGAGAACAAAATGAAGAGCTTGGACTGATTATTGATTTAACATATACTCAGCGCTATTATAAGTCAGAGGTAAATTGAACCTTTAACTGAAAGCAACATTCTTCATAATGATATTAAAATAATTTATAGTAATTCAGTAATAATAGTTTTTATCTTGTGCTTGTGTGAAGTGTAACTTTTTTTCATGAGTAATAATAATTTTAAAAGGAATTCAAATCTTTCTTTACATGTTTTTAATACTGTCTCAAAATGAGATTGGAGACATGAATTAAACGATTTGGTCACCATTTACTGTTTATATTCAAATCCTTTTCATCATCTTCAACAAAAACTCTATAACCATTAAAGAGTAATTCCCTTTTCTCCCACTCTTTCAGCCCCTGGTAACCTCTGATCTACTTTTTGTCTATATAACTTTGCCTATTCTTGGCACCTCATACAAATGGAATAATAATATTTGTCCTTCTGTGTCTAGCTCATTTTACTAATTATGTTTTCCAGATTGATGGATTTGTAGCATGTATCAGAATCTTATTCCTTTTCATGGCTAAATATTTCATTGTGTTTATATGCTATATTATGTTTATCCTTCATCTATCTATAGGTACGTGGGTTATTCCTTTAGCTATAGTGAATATCGCTGCTATTAACATTGGTATAGAAATGTTTGGTTTGGGGTTTTTGGGGTTTTTTGTTTTGTTTTGTTTTTTGGTACTGTGGATTGAATCTAGAGGGACTTTACCATTGAACTTTCTCCCCAGCCCATTTTTTTTATTATATTTTTTTTAGTTGTAGATGGATAACAATACTTTTATTTTATTTATTTATTTTTGTGTGGTGATGAGGATCAAACCCAGTGCCTCATACAGGTGAGGCACATACTCTGCCACTGTGCCACGTGCTCTGTCACTGAGCCACAATCCCAGCCCCTCTCCAGCCCTTTTAAATTTTAAATTTGAGACAGGGTTTCACTAAAGTGCTTAAGGCCTTGCTGGATTGCCAAGGGTGGCGTCAAACTTGTGATCCTCCTGCCTCAGCCTCCTGAGTTGCTGGGAGTATAGGCGTGCGCCACTGTGCTGGGATAGTGTAAAATATTTGTTTGAATCCTTCCTTGCTTTCAGTTCTTTTAGATGTGTAACTAGGAGTAGAATTGCTGGGTCACATGGTAGTTCTGTGTTAACCTTATGAGAAATTGCTGAACTTTTCCATTGTCATTTTCTTGTTTTTAAGCTTTTATCCTAAATGTCAGAAACAGAAAGATGTAATACTTATAGGTGTCTGTTGTATACCAATTAATGCATTCAGCTTTAATATTTATCAACTAATGGCTATCTTGTTTGGTCTGTATCCCTACCTGTTTCACCCCATTCTCTGATGTCATATAATTTTATCTCTACTTCTTTGGTATGTATATTTAAAAAATAAATACTTTTAATTGTTGATATCAATTCTTATTAAAGATATCCAATCAGTGCTCAAACTTGGATTAGCTCCTAAATTCCATAAAATATTGTTACGCTGCAATTGGTTGTTAAGTTTTACTGTCCCCTCCCTGCCTTAAAATTTATATATTAAAGTAATTAGGTAGTGTTTAATATGTAGATTTTGATAATTGCATCCCTATGAGTTGTTAAAGTTTTTTTCTAGTCCTTTTCTTTGCAGGTTGGTAGTTGGATATGGCTTGATCTGATTCAGGCTGGATTTTTCTTTTTGGCAAGACAGTTTCAGAAGTGATGATGTATTTGTTCTTCCATCAGGAAATGAGACTTCAAAAAATAGAGAAATCAATAATTCTTTCTAAATTTATTAGCTGTATTTTTTTTTTTTTTATAAAGAGAAGTTTCTCCTTATTTACTGCCCAGTTGTGCAGGCATGATTCTTTCATTTTATTTAAGTTTTCACAGTAATGGGTTGAACTAGTAGGATCTTAATTTATTTATTTTTTATATCATTATGAACTCCATACTGTTGTTTTTCTTACTGAGGCACAAGATGGTTGGAGCTTCTCCATTTGGCTCTTGAGACATTTTGAAACATCTTTAATAATTTTTATTCACTCTTAATTCTAGGCACGTCTTGTATATTTTGTTCCCCAACCTGAATGAGCCATTTTAACAAGGTACTTAGATTTCTTTTAGTTAAGAGACTACAATCTGGGCTGGGGTTGTGGCTCAGTGGCAGAGCGCTTGCCTCACTCATGTGAGGTCTTGGGTTCAATCCTCAGCACCACATAAAAATAAATAAACAAAATAAAGATATTGCATCCATGTATAACTAAAAAAATATTTTTAAAAGTGGGGGGACAATCTGCTAGAGGTACCAGGCTAACATTGTTCATAGGCTTTCTTTGGTCAAATTATTTGTGTGTGTGTGTGTGTGTGTGTGTGTGTGTGTGTGTGTGTGTTTATAATGTAAAAGCATGGGCTCATGCTGATACTTTCCATTTCAATTCTGAGCTGTAGGCTTTTCACTTACCCTCTTCTGTCTTTTAGTATGTCTACTTTTTCCCACCCCAAGAATACTTCTGCTTAAATCACAGCTGCTTTATGAAGGCATGGCCGTTATACTGTATAATATTGGGTAGGACTGTTCATACTTAGTTATCTATATGTGCATTTGTTCACATGGAATTTGCTGTGTGTATACATCCTATTGACTGTCTCTCCTGTAGTTTTTTGTTGTTGTTGTTCTAATTGGTTATACACCTCCTATGTTGTAATGTAATATAATTACAAAGTAAAAATTTGTGAATGGAGCAGCTTGGAGAAAAACTGGCTCTTTTATCAGAATTATTGATGTATAATAAGATTATTATAATCTCTTGGTTTATATTCCAGCTCCTCTTATTAATCTTTAATTGTTTCCCTACAAATAAAATAATATATGTATATTTTTTTCTTGTTTTTTTCTTATAGGATTTGCCAGAAACTATTCCTTACTTAAAAATTTTTACAGTTGGGCATCAAGTGCCTGATAACAACACTATTTTTAAATTCAAATGTGCTGTTAGTGGATTTTTGAAAGAAAATAAAGACAATGGTGAGTTTGTGTGTGTGGGGGGGTATCTGATATGCATTTTTAATGGAGTTGGAAGTTTTTGATATTTTTAATAGTTCTGATAATAGGCCCATTGTCTTTTATGGTGTTAAGGTGAAAATGTCAGATGGAGATAATAGATTAAGGGTTTTAAGTCCTTTTGTCTTCTATAATGGTTCTTTTGTCTTCTATATTGGTTAAGAGATATCTGAGAGTTACCTAAAAAAGACAACAAAAGGCAAAGTTAGCAGTGAAACAAAACAGAGCAGGCAAATGAAATTGTATCTTTGCTTTATATGTTTAAGCTATTTCTGATGTTTTTCCACTTTGAGAATTGTTGTACTTGTATCCAATATCAAAAGTGGAGGCTGGACTCATAAGTAGCTCAGTGGTGAAACATTTGCCTAGCATGTGTGGGGCCCCAAGTTTCATCCCCAGCACAGCAAAAAAAAATTTTTTTTTTTTAAGAAAGAGAGAATTTTTTAATATTTATTTTTCAGTTTTCGGTGGACACACATCTTTATTTTATTTTTATGTGGTGCTGAGTATCGAACCCAGTACTCCGCGCATGCCAGGCGAGTGTGTTACCACTTGAGCCACATCCCCAGCCCCAAAAATATTTTTTTAAAGTTGAAGGCATTCCATTTGTTTTATTCAAAAACAAATTTTACTCTTCTAGTCTGTTGGGATTTTTTTTTTCACTTCCTTTTTCTATAACTAAATCGGTTACTGATATGTGCTCTATTTGGACCAATGAATTTGTCTCAGTACAAGTGTAGCTTTTAATACCTGATCAGATCTTCTACAGTTTACATCGTGGGGTTATTTGAAATTTCCTCCAAACAGTGAATGTTGATTTTCTAGTAGACAATTTTTTATACTATATATATATATATTTTAAAAATTCCTTTTCAGGGTAGTGGTAATATTGTGATATCTTTAAATGTTACTCTTCAATAATTGTATAACTTGAATCTATTTTAGTTACTTAACTGTATTTCTTGTTTTATAGACAAACTTATTGGTGTCCACTGTACACATGGCTTAAACCGGACTGGTTACCTCATCTGCAGGTGAGTTGCCAACTCCAGAGGCAAACTGTTTTTAAGTTGTTTTTGTCTGATAACAATGGTAGTGTAAGTTTGTTGCAAGAAATGCAATCAGTATAAAAATGTGTAAAGTAGAGAGAAATATAGTTCCCCACCCAGAGATTACCATTATTAATAATTTAGTGTACATCTTTTTAAACTTCAAAAATGCAGATACAAGCATGCATATATATAATATGTGCATTTTTTTTTTAGTTAGTTCATGGTATAATAGATGTTCTGTTTTATAGTTTAATATGTTGTAGAAAGTGCTTTATGACCATATTCTTTTTAAAGGCTGCACTGTTTGTGTACTGATGAACATGAAAGTCATAAGTTTTTGATATTATAAAGCATTAAAATAGCAAACATTCATGTATGAGCATCTTTGAATATGTTTGTCATTGTCCCAGAGATAACTGATAGGCACTCAATTATAACTGATAGGGAATAGGTTTCCATGGAGAACTTTGAGCAAATATCAGAAGTTGAATTGGTACTGACCAGTTAGGGACACTGTGGAGAGAATAGTGGACATAAGAAGCAGCAAAGACCCTGTAACAAGATGACATTAACTGTGTTGGAGGAATCAGACCATGGGGTAAGTATAGTATTAAAATGGATCTGGAAGTATGGGTAGGAGCTAGATCATGCAGAGCTGTGTTTAAGGCTTTGTTTTATTTTAAGAACACAAGAAACCTATTTAACTTTTTTGTTGGGGGTGAGTGTGTAGAATATATTCAAATTTGTATTTTCAACTTTTCATTTTACTACTGAGTAAAGAATAAACTTCAGAAGAAAGGAGTCATGTTAGGAGGCTTTTATAGGAATTAAGGCATAGTAGTAGCTTGGACTGAAGTGTGATAGTCATTTGGTGGAAAGGTGTGGTCATATTCTAGAGATATTTAGGTTCATCATTGTCAGTACTTGGTGGTGGGATGAAGATGAGAGTAAGGAAGAAATTGCTGAGATGATGGCATCTCCATTCTGGCCCAGACATTTCTTACAAAATATTTTTTGGATATGAGGTTAATATTTTTCCCTATTTGTTTTTTGCTTGTTGGTTCCTGATAAATTCTATGTCAATCTAAGGAAGTCTTCTGTTTTTAGTGTACAAAGAATTTTGATCAAAAACAACTATTTAATTTTTCAAATACATTATAAAACATCTGTCAGTTTGGTCCCATATTTCCTTTCCTTTATTACTTAAATTATTATTATATCAATGTAAGTATTTTTATTAATAGATCTTCTAAAGTTGGGTCATCTTGCATTCTTGGAATAAGGTCTTTTGTGGTCATGGCATATCATTCTTTAATAATTATTGTTGGATTAGATGTGCTGATATTTTCTTTATGATTTTTATGTCTCCATTTGTAAGTGAAATTGGACCTTTTTAAAAAAAAAACTTTTTTTCTTTTCGTATATATAAATGACCCAAATTATGTTGTTTATTGTTAGATATTTGATTGATGTAGAAGGCATGAGGCCAGATGATGCAATTGAATGTAAGTATGAGGGTTGTCACTATTTTTTCCTTTTCATAAAAGTTAAAGGTAAAAATGTAGATGAATTTCTCAAATTTTGGGAAAAATAGTTCGTAATTCATTTGTTCCAATATAACAAATTCAAAAAAGAAAAAGAAAACTAACTTTTGGGGCTGGGGGTGTAGCTCAGTGGTAGAGTACCTGCTTAGCATGCTTGAGGCCCTGGGTTTGATCTCCAGCACCAAAAGAAAAAAGGAAAGAAAAACAAAACCCAAACAAGATAATCTTTTTCCGAAATTTATAAAGGAATATATTGGAAGTAGTGAGATACAACAGCCTAAATAATTAGTCAATGAATTTCAGCTTTGGTTTACTTTCTCTTGGAAAGTTTTGTTGTCTCTACAATTATTTCTAACAGTTCATCCACTCCTCAGTATTCAATAGGTGCCGGGGACATTGCATAGAAAGACAAAACTACATTGAAGACCTTCAGAATGGTCCTGTCAGAAAGTAAGTCTTATATGTGAGATTTGTGGTTAGGGAGCTCTCTTTTGTGTAATTCAAACTGTATATATCCATCTTCTGGTAGCTTATTCACTTGCTGGGGGGAGCCTTATAAATAGGGATGGTCAGAGGAAAGAATTTTCATTTTTATAAGCCAAAATATTTAGTCACTTAATTTACTACCAAGTTTGGAAACCAATAATATTGTATGGAAATGCTCTCTTTGAGGAATTGGAATTCTGGTGTATCCAGGTCAAGCGATTTTGAAGACTCAGCACATCTCATGGAACCAGGGCACACCTCTAACAAGTCTAGTAACCAAGGATCTAGGTATAACTTACATCGGACCTATGGTTATCCAGTGCCTTCCCGGCGTTTTCACACCCAGTCCCCACACTTGCAGCAGCCATTCAGGTACCTCTGCTTTTCCTTTTTCTGAACCTAAAATAGAAATTATACTATAAATCATTGAAAATATGTTTTAATAATGATGAGCAGTTGATGTTTTCTTACTGATCATTGTAAACCAGAAGGTGTCATCTTGTTCTGTATTTTGGAAAATCAGATACTAAGTAGAGAAATAGGAAACTTCAGAAGCAGTTGGAAGGGAATTTAGACATTTTCATGGATTTGTAAACTTCAGTGTGATATGTCTACCAGAAAGAATCTTGCATTCTTAGACTACATGAATTGTGGTGTAGTTTTCAGAATAAGGAAAAAGAGTAAATATAAATTAAGTGAAAATAATAAAATAGCAATAGAAATATTTGCAAAGGATTTGAACACATAAATCACAAAAATATTTCACTCTGGAAATGGGAAAAATTTCAGTTTGATTAAAATAGTCTATTGACTCTCCAAAAAGAGAGAACCAATAGGAGATAGATAAATAGATAGATACATACATACATACATATATACATACATACTTAAAGAGAGGCTTTATTAGGGAAATTGGTTCATGTTATTATGGAGGCTTCAAGATCCTACAACAGGCTTCTGAAAGCTAGAGACCTAAGGATGCCAAGTGAAAAAAACATCTGAACCAGGGAACCTGGTAATTCTCAGACTTAGTCTTGACACCAAAGGCCTGAGAATCCATGGGGTTTGGACATGGGAAGGTAGGGGAAAGGGGTAACTACTCATGCAAGTCCTAGAGTCCAAGGGCTGGGACTCTTGGAGTTCTGATATCAAGAACAGGAGAAGAAGAGTATCCCATTTCTAGGAATGAGGGCAAATTCACCCTTTCTTCTCTTTGATTGGGGTTTACCTACATTGAGGGAGGATCTCCTCACTCAGTCTTCCAACTCACATACCAGCCTTTTCCAAAAACACCTTCATAGACATATCTAGAAATAATGCTTTACCAGCTGTCTAAGTATTCCTTAATCAAGTTGATACCTGAAATTGACCATCCAAAAAGAGCAAAAGAGTATTATTCTTTCACTATTTTAGCAAGAGTTTTTGATGAGCAACCCCATGGTTGTCAGGCTGGTCTTGGATTTGCATGCTGGCTCTGCCATTCACCCAGTGTATGATCTTGGGTGAGATACTTAACCTCTCTAGAGTTCTCTTTATTTATCAGCCAAGTGAGATTTGAATAATACATGCCCCCATAGGCATTGTCAGTGATGACTACTTGAGTTAAAACAATGTAGCACACTGTAAACACTTTGAAAAAAGATGTTGGCATTTTTTTTTTAAAGATGTAAATGTTTTTAAAAGATCTTGCTAGTGACAACCCTTTTGAAACACAATTTTAATGTCTATAACAATACTCATGGTGATTCCATGTTGAGACTAAGGAAATACTTCAAAATATGGAAAAGGCTATATTCTGTGATTCAACACATTTCCAAACTCCCTACTATGTCTCAGACACTGGACTTGGTGCTCAAGCTACAGTAGTATAGTATTGGGGATGTTAATACAAGAAATACTATAATATAAAGACTGGTGGTCTGAATTTCTAATAGTGGAGAATATAGCAGAATAGTTATATTCATACTATGACATTTTGTAAAACCATTGAAAATGATAGCTCACTTATGATAAGTAAAAACAATAGGTTATAATTCAACAGTCAAAAAAAAGATGCAAATGGAAAAAGACCAAAAGGAAATATGAACCAGTTGAATTAGATGAAGTGGGATTAAGGGGGGTTTGTAGGTTTCATTTTTCTTTTATCAAATTTCCAAATTTTTGTAATTATATGTATTCACTGATCTTGCTTTTGAAATGATTAAATCCTAATTAACCAAATTTGCATGTACCATGGCTAGAGTAATTTTTTATACTTTCTAATTAATTTATACTTATAAAGCAAAAGCACCTCCGTTTCCATACTAAATAGCTTATTGTTTTATATTAACCCTGCCAGGCTTTTGGAGAGAACGGTAGAAAGACTCCTGGGAACCTGTCTGTGTTCCAGGGCATTGTAGGAAATTTAAATATATTGTCTTGTTTTACCTTCATAATAACCTGGGAAGATACTATTAGCTCTGTTTTATAGAGAATTAGGAGACAGAATGATTTAAGTAATTTATCTGCTAAGGTGAAATAGGTAGCAAACAGAAGAATCAGAGCATCTATATATTATTTCCTAAAGCTTATTATATGTTTCATTAATACTAATAATGGATTATTGCTTTTTGTTTAAGAAAATTTTCACAAAATCAGAATGTTTACCAGAGAAGCCATATCCCTCCTCCTGGCCCTGCTGGAGAGGACTATTCACAAAGGAGATACTTTTGGAATGTGAAGCCAAATGGCAGTCAAGCAGTCCAGGATAAGAGGTGGTATCCTGGCAGTTATCAGAGACTGTCCTATCCGACCTACTGGGGATGGACCGAGTGATACAAAACCTGTCCTGGATATCTCCCTGGAGACCAGAGCTGCGCTGAAGATAACTGGAGTGACTTAATAAAATCAGGTCAAATGAGGTTTTTCAGGTCAAATGAGGTTTTTGCTTGTTTTTTTATTTTTTATTTTATATATATATATATTTTTTATTGTTTCCTTTATATGTGTTCAAGCTTTTAAAGGAATTACATTAATATTTACCTTTTTGCTGATAAATTTACAGTAATTATAGCAATACCAAAACAAAACAAACAAAAAACAGAACAAAACCTGTCATTCCAGTCTTAAAATTTTCTAAAGGAAGATGATATTTTAGAACTTAAGTATTAAGAATTTCTCTTGCAAGTTATTTTTAAAAATAGTATCTTTTTTCTATGTATTTTCTTCTGACTAGACTTGTAACATAAGTTTGTGTATATACAGAAATTTTTAGTGTTTTTGTCATGTTCTATTGACCCAGTCATAAGAGTATCTTTTTTCCATAATTCTTCAAAATTTCGATTAAAATTTACCTAGGAGAAAATTTCTTTAGAAGCTAGTCACTATCTGTAATTAATTGTGGTGTTTTTGTGATTATACATTTCTTTCTTTGGCAGTTTTTTTGTGGTATTTGACCAACTTCCTTTCACTGAATTACCAGATATGCCATCTAACCCAGAGATGGATAAAATTTGAGAGATTGGTTAGCAGTTGGGTGAGAGAAACTGATTTGATAAACCAGAATGCTGGTTAATTAAATCAAATCATTATTTACCTGATAGGGTAAATGTCATGAATAGGGTAGAACTATCCAGAAAACTTAGAAACTTTATCGATTATAAAGGTTGACTGATGAACAAATGGGGTGTGACTATAAATTGCCTGGGATATCTGGCATGTTGATGTTATTGCTCCTCTGCTGAACATAACCCTCTGGGATGTTTTCTCCAGTTGCCTATCACTGGAGTGGTGCTTTACCTCAGGAACATGAAGGTAGATCATTTGGGAGAATGTTAATTATTTTTAGTGCAGAGGGAGCCAGAAAACTTTGCTTACCCAAGCCAAGTGTCTCATCATCCTCTCAATCGATATTTGATGAATACTTGGGCAACTTGGCTTCCTTTTTTAAAGCCTCTGGTTTTGAGGATTTCTGATACTGCATATGAGGGGTATTTTCTCTGTTCTCTCTTGTGTGTGAACAATCTGACTTTAAGGGAGTATTCTACTTCAGCTGTTCTTGCCTGTATCTGATTGGCTCAATCAGGGTACTCTATTTGATCTAAGTAATGGCTCATAAAGTTTTTCTCTGCTCTCCACATTTAACAGAGATACAAAAAGTCCTTCTTGCTACAAGCCTACTCTTATAGAATTGTTCCCCAGGATACATCCTGAAGGCTCACATTGGAAGAAATTGGAGCAAGACAACTGTAAGGCAAAGCAGAATCAGCAGGGGTAGGTATGGGAATCCAGCTAGTCTCATAGTTGTGAAAAAGGCCTTGGCAAGCAGCTTCAAAGGAAAACACTCCCAGTAGAAAGGGCCATCATATAAGCTTTGCCTCCTTCAAAAATGTTTATTTATCATCCCTTTTGTATTCTCCCTTATTTTAACTATCAGCATGGCTTGTTTTTAAAAAAAAAAAAAAAAAAAAACTAATTAGGATTTGATTATCTCCTGTTTCATTTATTCTGTAACACATTGGTTCTTGTTTCTGCTCATACCATTGAAAGGCTTCTGGCTAAAAGGACCAGCAGCCCCCTTTTAAAAAGGGCTTTCGTAGTCTGTTCAGGCTTTTAAAATTTATGTTTTTATTTAAAAAGCACATTTTAAAACTCAGATAGTTCTACTGAGATTACCATGAAAAAGAACAGTCCTCTGCCCTGCCCCAATATTCTTTTCTCAGAAGCAACCACCTTAAGTATTTACATGTTATCATCTGGTATTTGGCTCTATTATTTAAATAATATGACTATAGCCACTTCTTGATTTTTCAATTTGTGATACTATGGTAGATGAGGAGAATGCTTTTGCAGACCTTCTACCCATTCCACGCATAAAACTTGTGGTTAAATCTGTTCTAAATTCATGTTACTAGGTAAATATTATTCCATGAGCCATAAGGTACCATAGTTACGTTTCTTATAATCCCCTTTTTCCTGTCATTTTTGCTTCATTTTTTGCCTCTTTTCCTCTGGACCTATCACTAGTTCGTACTGCAAATTTCTAATAGCATTATAAAATATCTCAACATGGGTAAATTCATCAGATTCTTTTTCGTTTGAAATCTTCCCTGGAGTCCTCTTGGTCTGTTTCAGGTTAGGTTCTGTGTTTGTTTTCTAGAGCTACCATAACAAAATACTACAGACTGGGTAGCTTAAATTATAGAAATGTATTTGCTAATAGTTCTGGAAACTAGAAAAGATAAAGATGTCAGCAGGGTTGATTTCTTTGAGGCTTTTCTTATCATTTTGTGGATGACTGGTTCTACCTGTGTCTTTGCATGGCCTTTCTTTTGTGTTTGTCAGTGCCCTAATCTCTCTCTCTCCAGTGGTTTTTTATTGGTTTGGTTTGGTTTTTGGGTGGTTATAGGGATTGAATCCAGGTCCTCACTTACTAGGGAGATGCTGTACCTCTGAGCTACATCATCAGCCCTTTCCTCTTAAAAGGATATCAGTCATGTTGGATGAGGTCCCATCCTAGCACCTCACTTGAATTTACTTACCTGGTTAAAAGCTCTGTCTCCCAACTACAGTCACATCTCCAGATGTTGATAGTTAGAACTTCAACATAGGAATTTGGGGGGAACACAACTCTGTCCGTGACAACTCTGTCTCTTGACCTAGGCATAGCTCCGTCCCCGGAATTCCACTTCATCTTTACCCTGTTTATTTCTTAGGCCTCTCTTGGGTCTCCTGGATCCTGTAGCCGCTGCTTTCATGGCTTCCTTCCCTATTTGGTGGATTATATCCTTCAGTAGTCAATGGGATGTAATTTTTTTAAATATTTTTTTTTAGTTGTAGATGGACACAATACTTTTATTTGTTTATTTTTATGTAGTGCCAGGGGTATAACCCAGTGCCTCACGCATGCTAGGCAAGCACTCGACCACTGAGCCCCAACCCTGGCCCCCAGGATGTAAATTTTTTGAAATTCTTTAGTGACAAATTGATTTATTTTTTTCTTCATTAATAATTGAATTTGCTATAAAATTGCAGGTGGACACTTTTAAATGCATGTATACATTGTTCTGCATGTCATTGTTACTGTTGAATCCTGTAACTATTCTGATTCTGGAGCTTTTATTTTTTTTTCTTGAAGCTTTAAGGTCTTTATTTCAGGTATTTTAAAATACATAATACTATATTTAGTGAGCCTTTCAATCTGGCAAGTTATGAGAAATTTTCATTTTTACGCTCTTCTGGGGGAACATCTAGTTGAATGTTGGATTTTCTGAAATGTACCTCTAAGTTAATTGTATATTTTTTTCTCCTATTTTCTATTTTTAAGCCCTTTGCTTTTTTAAAAAATCTGCTGTTTTCTAAACACACACTTGTGTGTATGTAATTATATATTTTTTAGGGTATTTTTTTATATGTGTATAATTTTAAAGAGATGGGGTCTATGTTGCCCAGGCTGGCCCTGAATTACCAGGCTCAAGCAATCCTTTGCCTCAGCCTCCTGAGTAGCCAAGACTTTGGGCTTATTCTACTACCACCTCTAATACTTATTTCTAAGAACTAGCTCTTTTTTTTTAATGAATGTATTATCTTTTATCTCTTTAATGATACCTGTTTTTAAAGTTCCTTTTGATCTCCCCATCAACTTTCTTTTTTTCCCTTGTTTGTGCCTCTGTTTCTCATGTTAGAGGTGTTCTTGAAATACCTGGTAACCCTATTTATTGGCCCTGTCTGTATTTATAAGATTGGGGCATTGAAACTGATGGAAGCTCTGTTTTCTCATAGTAATAAGGCGATTGGTCACTTTGTTTTCTGTTTACTTTCCCACTGCTGCACACATTTAGGTTTTATTTTTTTCCATTTTGATAGTATCATCTTTGAAAATCTTATTGCCATCTGTCATCTATATTCATCATCTATCCCATTTTTGGGGGAATTTTTATCTTTAAATATACCTTTACTGTTATTTGGTGGGGTTTGAGTAGGGGCTAGAGATAGCTATGAGACCCAGCATAATGAGAATTTAATTACCAAATAAATTGCTGTAAGGGTTTATCCTCAGTTTGGTAAGCTTGAGTTTTTAAAAAAAAAAAATTAGTACATTGTGTCCCAGGAGTGCAGGCCATTGAGTTATGATTTGGAGCCACAAACATTCCTACTATGGAAGGAGGCCCCATCTAGGATCCTATCTAAACCTTCTTTCCAGTGAAATTGCAATAACTGTCCCAGAATTATGTCCTGAAAATAGTTCAGTCATGTTATTCTCCTCTTGGAAATCTTGAATGGCTTATGGGCTTCAGATTCCATTTTTAGCTCCTTGTCAAGGCTTTCTTTATCTGACTGCAAGCTGACTTCTCAAAGCCTTTTACTATGTTCCACTCCATGTCTGTGTGCCAGCCATTTCATGGTACATTGCGCCATACACATTTATGCCACCATGTGCTTATTCTTCCAGGTTGTTCCCTTGGCTGTAGTCTCTGCCCTGTGGTTGCTGTGAGCCAGTCCCTCTCATTGTATAAGCTACATCTCTATAAAGTCTTTTCTCCCATCCCTGCCCACTAAGGGAAAGATGCCTTTTTCAACAACTAACCTTGTCATTTTATTTATGTCTTGTGCTATATGAAATACAGGTTCTAGGGCACCATCTCAGGCTTCCTCAACCCCTTCCTTCTCTGAAAGCACCGTCTGCCTCTGGGTCCACATTCCCCTTTTTAAAAAACCTTTGATACCAAATCTTATTGAGATCCCCAAGTTAACTAGAATCCAAGTTAGCTCTGGGCCTGCAAGGTCCTTCCAGCCCTGCACCTTGTATACTCTCTTCACAGATATGGCCCTACTTTAGAGGAAATGCTATACAATAGCTTTCTGGGCTGCCACTGAAGGGTGAGGTAATGATCCAGAAGTGTGGAGGAGTCTGCTCCCTCTAGGGGTTCTTGATGAATGAAGTGTTGAGGACCAGAGGGAGTCTGCCCCTTCTTTTCCCTGCTGAACACTACTCTCAACCATGTTTCTGAGCCTTCCAGAGAAGGTCCGGCTTACTGAGTGAATACACATGCCAGACATCCTGCACGTCTTTCTGGCTCATTGTAAAGCAACGTTGCATCACATTGCTTAGCATTGCTTCTTGCTTCGCTTACCCTTTCTTCACCCTTACTTCTCTGTTTTTAAATACTGCAAATAAAATACCAGTGATTTAATCCTTGCCTCAGTTTTTAAATACTGCAAATAAAATACCAGTGATTTAATCCTTGCCTCAGACTCTGCTTTCTAGAGGATCTCAGATAGTTGTTTAAATATCAACCACACGCATATAACAGTGGGAAGTGCCTGATAGCTCCCAGTAATTTAACATTGAATTCTACAAATACTTACAACTTTTTTAAGAACATAGAGAGATGCCAGTTACATCTAAGTAACAGTAAACAGGAATTAAATTCATTTGGGGGTTTTAGTCACATGATACAGGATTAGTTTTTGGAATTTGGGTATTTCATGTGACCCATTTGTTCAGAGAACACTTCAACATTTAGATGCTTTTTGTTTGCTTGCTTGCTTTTTGAGATAAGATCTCAGTAAGTTATCCAGATTGGCCTCAAACTCTCAATTCTGCCTAAATATCTTAAGTATCTAGAATTATAGGTACATACCCCAGCCCCAGCTTAGTTTTTTGTGGTTGCATGGGTTGGAGGAGAGAAAGGGGAGTTAATTGTTTAATAGATACAGTTTCAGTTATACAAGAAAAAGTATGAAGAGAGATTATGGTAATGTTTGTACAACATTATGAATTTATTTAATACCACTGAACTCTACACTTAAAAAATAGTTAAGATTGAAAATTTTGTGTTTTACCACAATTAAAAAAAATAGGGAAAATTGATGTAAATCTGCAGGTAACTAAAAATAGATATAGATTACATCAAAATTTAAAATTTTGATGCCACAAATGACATGACTAAGAAAGTAAAAAGCTAGGCACAGTGGCACACACCTGTAATTTCTAGTGATACAAGAGGCTAAGGCAGGAAGATCACAAGTTCAAGGCCAGCCTAAGCAACTCAGTGAGATCCTGTCTCAAAATAGAAAATAAAAAGGGCTGAGGATGTGGCTCAGTGTTTAAGTGCCCCTGGGTTCAATCCTGGTGCCAAAAAAAGTAAAAAGACCACATCATGGGAAAGACATTTTGTAAATCATATCTGATAAGGGGCTTATATCTAGAACATAAAGAATTTCTACAACCCAATATTAAAAAGACAATATAAAAATGAATAAAAGAATAGATGCTTCTCTATAAAGAAAATGTACAGATAGCTAAAAAAAAAAATGAAGAAATACTGAGCATTATTAGTCATTAGGGAAACAATCACAAAATAGCACTCCACTCCTACTAGCATGGTGTCATATTAAAAAGGACAATAGCAAGTATTCAAGCTTATGAAGAGTTCGACATAAGAAAAATATGAGTGCACACAGGAGAGAGTGCGTAGACAAATGAATCTCAATTGTGTTCTGGGGGTAAGATGGTCTGCAGTGAGGCCACATACTATAGGCAGGGAGCTGGAAGATTTCCCCTGAAGTTGGACTGGGGGCACGGATAGAGAAGTGAGGAAAGCGATGGGTTCTTTAATCTTACCAGATCTGGAAGTGAAGGAGGCATTGATTCCTGGCCTGTCTGCCTTTCCCGAAGGAATGAATGACCCCCAGTCAGTCCTTTGCCGGGCTGTGTTCAAACTTCCTGGTGACTCCAAGGCACCCAAGGTTGGTTTGGGTGGGAATTTAGCCCCTTCCATAGTCTACATCAGCCCCCCACACATCCTTTCAGCCATTCCAAATACACAGTTTATGCCTTGAACAGTTCAAGAGAAAACTCCTAGTGTGTACCCATCCCCAAAATTGGTTGAGAACCCTTGTAAAGAAATTCTAGCACTGACACTCTGGGGAAACTGGGATCTTTTGGCAAGTTTTCTTCCTGGGTCAGAGAAAGCAAGTCATAAAAAGGTCAGCTCTCACCCACAAACCAGGTTCAATAGGTAAAACCAGAGGTGGGAAGTAGTCCAGATGAGGAGCCAGGAAAGGAAGAGCCAGGTTCTGATTTTAGTTTGGCCCCTTAGCAAGTTAGTCCTCTCTGGGGTATCAATTTCCTCTTCTAGAAAATGGGGACAGCTGGGTGCTTTGTAGAGAATCACTTGAGCTAAGGCAAGTGGAGAGGCCCAGCACAGTGCTAGACAGCAGTGGCCACTGTGGATGCAACCCCTAACCTGTTAGGTCTCAGTGCCTTCCTTGATGCCTGGATCCATGTGGCATATCATTCAGGATCCAGAGCTTGCTGGGCCTGGGTGCTGAGCAGGAGTGGTGGCCCACAGACACTGGCTTAGATTCATGGTAAAAGTTACAAATATTTATGCAAGTACTTATGTAAATATTAGAGAACAAGGCTGATATTCTTATGGAAGTTCTCATTTAATAAATTAGATCTTTTGAACCAACTTGCAAATGATGCATAATAATATCTCTTTCCTGTAGCTTTAGGCAAAGGGATCATGAAATGACTAAAAAACAAAAAAAAAAAAAAACACAGTAAGATTCATCCCTTTTCAGTATATAGTTCTATGAATTTTTAAAAAATGTTTTTTAGTTGTAGTTGGACACAATTCCTTTATTTTTATTTGTTTTTATTTTTTTGTGGTGCTTAGGATCAAACCTAGCATCTCACACATGGTAGGTGAGCGCTCTACCACTGAGCCATGACCTCAGCCCCATATAATTCTATGAATTTTGAAAACTACATACCAGTTTGTAACCACCACTACAATCAAAATTAGAACAATTCCACTACTCCCTCAAAATTCCTTCACACCACTTTGCAGCAGTTGGCAATTGCTGATCTGTTTACTGTTCCTATAGTTTTACCTTTTCTAGAATGTCATCTAGATGGAATATAGAGTAAGTAGCCTTTAGAATAGGGCTTCTTTTACTTAGCATTACTGCTTTTGAGATTCATCCATATCATTGTATGGACATTGTATGTTCACTCCCTTTGGTGGACGTGTACATCCATTGTACAGATGTGCCACAATTTATTAAAAAAAATTATTTGTAGATGGACACAATGCCTTTATTTATTTTGGTGTGGTGCTGGGGATCGAACCCAGTGCCTCATGCGTGCCAGGCTAGCACTCTACTACTGAGTCACAACCCCAGCCCAATATGCCACAATTTTTTTATCCATTTGCCAGTTGAAGGATATTTGGATTGTTTACAGTTTTTGAATTTTGAACAAAGGTTCCATTAACATTTTTGCATATGTTTTTATATGAATATATTTGTTTCTCTTGGAGTGAGACAGCTATTGTGGAATAAGGGAATATTTATAAGAAACTACCAAACTTTTCCTAAGTGGCTGCATTATTTTGTATCCCCATCAACAAGGTTTGAGAGTTAAAATTTCTCACATCCTCATCAGTCTTTAGTGCTATTCCAATAAAAAGATTTAGTATAGGCTCCTTTAAAAAAAACAGCTTTAGAGATAAAATTAATACAATATGCTGTACATTTTTAATAGTTGATTCCTTTTATTGCTAACTTGTATTCCATTGTATGGTTATATGACAACTTGTTTATCCATTCACTTAATGAACATGTGAATTATTTCCAGCCATTGATGGCTATAAACTAGCTGCTATGAACTATGAAATTCCAGCATTTAATTTTTTTATTTTTTAAATTCTTTTTAGATATACATGACAGAATATATTTTGACATACTATACATACATGGAGTATATGTATGTATAAAATCATTCTTGTGGTTTATATGATGTGGAGTTACACTGGTTGTGTATTCATATATGAACACAGGAAAGTTATGTCTGATTCATTCTACTGTCTTTCTTATTCCTAAACTGAGACTTTTAAAATACATTTTAAATCAATTTTATTTTACAATTTCTAGCCTATAAAATATACTCTTTTTAAAAATATATTTTTAGATGGACCTTTATTTTACTCATTTATGTATATGTGGTGCTGAGAATTGAACCCAGTGCCTCACACATGTTAGGCAAGTGCTCTACCACTGAGCCACAACCTCAGCCCCTTAAATGTACTCTTTGCATAATTTGATGAATTTTTATAAAACTCATATACCCTTATAACACCAAATCAAGACACAGCACATTGGCTTCAGCCTAAAGATTCCTCTAAAGGGAGAATCTCCCATTCCCTCATCCCAAAAACCATTAACTTGCTTTCAGTAACTAGGATAAATTTGTAATTCCTAGAGTTTTATAGAAATGGGATTCTATACTAATTTTAGTTTCTCACCATTTTTGCTGAGCATGTTTTTTTTTAACATTCATCCATATTGGAAGTATCTGTAGTTTATTCCTTTTTTATTACCAGTATTTTATTGTATAGATTTTTCACAATTTGTCCACCAATGTGTTGTGGGGCACTTATTGTTTCCAGTTTATGGCTATTACAGCAATGTTGATATGAACATTCATGTACAACTAACAGGACAGTCCTCTAGATGGTCTGGAACCAAGGTAGTTTTCTACCCTTTCTCATTTCTGTTTCTCAATAACTAGAATCCCAGTGACTCTAGAAGCTGAGGCAGGAAGATTGCAAGTTTGAGGTCAGACACAGCAACTTAGTGAGACTGTCTCAAAATATAAAATTACAAGAACTGGGGATGTGGCTTAGTAGTAAAGGACCCCTGGAGTCAATCCCCAGTACTGGAAATAAGAAAAGAAAGAGAGACAGACTAGAGTATGCTGGGAATGCAGCATCCTGTGACTAGCCAGATTAGAATGATTAGCCAGAACTGCCCAGGATTTGTTCCAGTCCCCCTGATTACAAAATGTCCTTCAATGCTTTAGACCAGTGTGTCATGTTGCCCCTTCCCTGGTGCCAGGAGTCGGGGTACAAGACCCAGGGCAGGCTGCTTTGAGGGAGTCTCTCAGCTACGGTGGAAGTAAGGCATGTGCAGACAAGATTCTATTTGCCCTGGCAGCTTTCTGAGTCTTGGGAGACCAGCTCAGGATGAATCCAGGCTTCTGTGCTGCCTGCCTAGTTATTTTGTATGGGGGCGTTCTGTCCCACTGGACTTTTTGGTAACCAATGTAGACTTGATAGGGGACAGATAGATGTGCATTGTGAAAACATGAATAATTTTATAAAATAATTCTATAAAATGCATCCACTATACTGACCCCCCATGGGCTCTCTTTGCCAAAAAGCAATTCACC